GATGCAAGTTTTGCTACAGACATAAATACACAAAAATCTACATCGGGTACTGTAGTATTATTGGGAAAGGCATTGATTGGATGGAGGTCAATTAGACAGAAACATCTAAGTTTGTCAAAAATAGGGGTGAATTCTCATGTTTATCTTTACTATGCACAGATTTAGTTTTGTATAAACAATTACTAATTGACATTGGAATTAATGTAACAGATTCTATTGTTGTTTATGAAGATAACCAATCAGCAATACAGATGGCTTCAAATATTGCTGTTAGGACAACAATGAAACACACAGATTTAAGATATTTAAATGTGAGACAATGTGTGCAAAGTAAAATGATTAAGCTGGAATACTGTATGTCAGAAAACAATATAGCAGATCATTTTACAAAGGCCCAAGGCTCTATAAAACATAACGCTTGCTGTGAGGATTATGGACTTAGAATGTAAGGTTGTATATATTGTCCTACCCAAAAGGGGAGAATGTTAGGAATATGAGTCACCTAACAGCTATTTGGGTTGGACAATATGTAAACCAGGATAGACATTTTAATACTGTCTCTTTAAGAGAATCCTAAAAGTGTCATTGGGGGTGGTTTCATCAAACGGCCATAAGATGGAGCCAGAAACCTGGGTTGTTTAGTCTTAGTCTTAGTCTCAGAAGAAGTCTCAGTGAGTCTCTGTTTTCCTTCTGTTGGAGAGTATTGCCGTTCCTAATAATTGACTGCTATTCCTGGATTTGATGTAAGTCTGATACTGAACTGTTTTTTGATACTGGACTTTGATATTTGGATTATCCCTGTACTGAACACTGACTGTCTTACCTGTGAATGACTTGGACTGCTTATCTTGGACTGTGTTTAAACTTTTATTGGAAGTAAAAACTTACATTTACTGTACAGTGTATCTGTGTGCTGTGTGTGTATTATTCTTCACTACTCTCATTACGTCTCCCTGTGTGCGCTCATTCTCCTAACAGGGAATACCTCAACAACTTCCATAGTCCTTTTCAACTCTGTTAAATGCACCTCTATTTATGCTCTGGACTATTGACATGTAAACCCTGAAAAATACCAGGGCAAAAGAAAGGCAATAAAATCACTTTAGGTGTAGGGACAGTGCAAAATATTAATATATGATAAATAATGGAACAGTTACAAATAATAGCACAGAGTATTCTCTCTCCCCCTCTTCCTTCTTCTTCTTTTGTTTGTCTTTCTTCCTCTTTCTTTCTTTCTTTCCCTCTTTCTTTCTTGCTCTTTCTTTCTTGCTTGCTCTTTCCTTCTTGCCCTTCCTCCTTTCTTCTTTTTTCTTCCTATTTTTCTTTCTTTCTCTTTCTTTTTTCCTCTTTATTTCTTTCTCTCCTCTCCTCTTTCTTTCTTGATCTTTCTTCCTTTCTTGCTCTTTACTCCTTGCTCTTCCTCCCTCCCTCCCTCCCCTTCCTTGTCTCTATCTCTCACACACACCTCTTTTCTGGGAAGAACTTATGAGCAGCAAGCAGTGGGACAATGAAGAAAGCAGCAGCCCCAGAATATCCATCTGCCCTCCCTTTCGAAACACATGGATGGTGGCAGGTGGTGGCAGGTGGGCGTGCCTCAAAAGGGAGGGGGAAAGCAAAGGCTTTCCCTTTGCTTTTCCTTCACTTTCCCTGCTCTGCTGAGCTGGGAGGGCGGCGGACACGCCCTGAAAGGGAGGCCAGGAACTCCTGGGGCTGCTTCCTATAGCTGTGCTGCTGCCACCGCTGGCCCCCTGCCCTCTGGACTGACCCGGCACCCCACCTTGGCCTCCTCCCACCCAGAAAGGTCCCGGGCAATGGGGTGGTGGCACAGAAAGGCCCCACGCAGTAGGTGAGGGCCTAGCGTCACTTGCAGGCTTACCTGAGATCAGGGCAGGCAGATCAGGGATGCTCAGTTGGGGTGCAGGCACCACGTGGGGAAGTCAGGTTAGGCAAGTCACGACGGCCCAGCGTGCCACATAGGAAGGGAGAAATGACTGAGTGGGGCGAGCGGTGGGTGGGAGATTGACTTGAGCGAGCATCAGGTGGGTGGGGCAACTGAACGACCAGCGAACGGATAACTGGTTTGGGGGCGTGGCCAGCCAGAAGTTACTCATGGTTCTGCAACCCACGCCTAATCACCACTACAGGTTCTCCGGAACTGGTGCGAACCGGTTGAATACCATCTCTGGTATAGGAGCCACCTGGGAGTCCAAGTTAAGGGAAATAGGAATGCCATTGTAACAGCCAAGCTTGTTTTTGAAAACTTCTGAATAGTTAGCAAGAAGTTGTTCTAGGTTGTGGAGAGTGACTGCACTTACTCAAGTCACTTGCAGTCAGGGGTGGGATTCAATTTTTTTAACAACTGGTTCTGTGGGCGTGGCTAAGTTGGTGGGCATGGCTTGGTGGTCATGTTATTGGCTGGGCATGGCCAACTCAATATCACTCACTTCGAGGCACACATCTCCTCCCCTGGCCTCTCATGACTGTGGGGATGCTGCAACAGTCGTAAGTGTACAAAATGGTCATAAGTCATTTTTTTCAGTGCCATTGTAACTTTGGTCACCCCACACAAGCAAAATACCAGCAAAGGAGGGGAAAAAAGCTCCAGAGATGCTCCTGAGACAGGTAGTCTAGTTGTGCCAACAATGTAATAAGGGTTAACAGAGAGGCAGTTACTGTAAGCAACACCAGAATGTTTCCTTCCTGCCTTCCTTACAGGATTAGGCCAGTAATTTCTTCTAACAACTAGTTCTCCAAACTGCTTAGAATGTTAACAACCGGTTCTAGCAAATAGGTGCAAACTGGTAGAATCCCACCATTGTTGTCCTAGTGTGTGCAACCAGTCCAAATCTAGTAAGCTTGGCAGGCACCCATTTATGATAATTAGGGGTAGGTGTCCCTTAAAATTGAATCCAGATTGAATCTGGATTGAAGATGGCCACCGGCAACAGCCCTCGTGAATTACTCTCTGATAGTTTTTCAATCATCTACTAACTACTAAGGTAGGAGTGGGACCTGGGGTCAGCAGAACCATGGCAAGAAGCACCGAGGTAGTGGATATTGGATAACTAGCCTGGAGATCCAAAAGGAAGTCTGAGACTGGAAAATAATCCTAATGAGACAAGTCGATAGCCAACTGAGAGACAAAAGAGAGTCTATAGAGCCTGAGACTAAAGCTTACCGGGACCCAAGAGGGAGATTGAATGCTGAGCAAGATCTCCAAGAGGGAGATCAAATTCTGAGCCTAAAAAAATAAATATCCAATTGCACTGAGGAACACGATTCTGAGCTCCAAGAGCTATATTGTGACCAGCAGAGAGCGAGGGAGATTAGAGAAGAGCTAATAGAAATCTGTGAGACCTCCGAGAGAGGCTGAGATCAGCAGAGATAGCAAAGAGCCGACAGGGACACTTTAATTTGAGAGAAATCAGTGGAGTCTGAGAGACTGACTGTAATTTGAGAGAAATCAGTGGAGTCTGAGAGACTGAGAACAGCACAATTCTGAGCTAGAAGAGGGCTGAGAGCAGGCTGCAAATGCGATTCTGAGCTGAAAGTGGATGAGGAGCATGATTCTGAGCTAGAAGGGGGCTCTTTACTTTAAACTCTGAGTTTTAAAACTTTAAGAATAAGCCAAGGAGAAACCCTTTCACTACTAAACTCTACCTCATCAAAAATCAATTGCTTTGAATTCATTCAAACAAAAAGAAACCATGTGCCTTCAACTTCCACCTCACCAAGATTCCCTGGGCAGAGACTCCCTGAGCGAAGATTTTCTACCAGCTGAAATCGGAGTCAGCTATACAAGTAGTTCAGATAACAACAGTCAGAAAAGTAATAAAGCTTTCTCACCAAGTGGATCACCAGCAAAGCAATAACCCTTTACTTGCTGACTTACTACCTCATTTCTTCAATACTTATAACACTGATTGCTTCATTACCTCAAAACGTATAACTTTACGACCTCAAGACATTTATCAACGATTAGATAATGATGTCTATAAAATAATGTCTCTATAATAATTTCTCTAAAATAATTGATCAGTTGATTGATTGTTTGATTGATTAGTGTGATTAGAATGTATTGAGGTAATTCCCCGTTGAATGAGTGTATACAGGGAGACGTATTGAGAGAAGTGTTTGAATAATACACACACAGCACACAGATACACTGTACAGTAAATGTAGGTTTTTACTTTCCATAAAGGTTTAAGCAAAGTTCAAACAAGCAGTCCAAAGTCATTCACAGGTTAAATCAGTCAGTTTTCAGTCCAGGGATAATCCAATAACAAAGTCCAGTGTCAAAAAATGTTCAGTAACAGACTTACATCAAATCCAGGAATATCAGTCAATTATGAGGAACGGCAACACTCTCCAACAGAAGGAAACAGAGACTCACTGAGACACACTCTCTTCTGAAACTAAGAGTAAGACCACCCAGGTTTCTGTCTCCATCTTATGGCTGTTTGAGAAACCACACCCAATTACACTTTTAGGATTCTCTTAAAGAGACAGTATTAAAATGTCCATCCTGGTTTATATATTGTCCAATCCAAATAGCTGTTAGATGACTTACATTCCTAACAGGATGTAATTTAAATAGTGTAATTTAATTGATTAGTAAAATTAATTATTAGTGAAATTAATTGACCAGTGTGATTAATTATTAGTATAATTAATTGATTAGAGTGATTGTTAATTAGTGAAATTGCTTGACTAGCATGATTAGTGTAATTAATTGATTGGTGCAATATTGTTATTGATCTTGTTTGATTGAGCAATTTAACCAACAAACCATCTCAACAAACCCATGCCAGGAAAATAATCCAATGCCAAACCACAACCCCAAAAGAAAGAAATCCCCACCAATGAACCGCAAGACTCCTGCATATTCCATATATGTCAAGAACCTTTACAGGAGAATGAAAATTCCATCAAATGTTCCCTATGTGACAACTACACTCACCATGACTGCTTGGGATTATCCAAGCAAATGGCTCAATTAATAGAATCACCCAACCATGGGTTTCCATATTTCTGTCCATCATGCAGACCCAAACTGGACAAATATATTGCCCTGTTCGAAAGAGTTGATACCTTAGAAACACAAATAACATCCCTTGACACCATAGTAGAATCCCTGGATACTATAAAAACAAGATTAACTAATCTTGAAAAAAAACACAAAAAACTGAACATCCAATAGCTGCAAACCATATCTTTACTCAACAACCGCAACCACAATCCATTTCACAAAAAACCACAAATCCAACAAATAATGATATCCCAATCCTCATAAAAGAAGCTGTCAAGCATGAATGGAAATGTCCCAATGCCATCTTATTTGGTCTTGAAGTCAACAATGACAATGATGACATCATAAATGTCCGCAACATCATCAGTGATTATCAAGCATCAACCCTCTCCCCTGATGAAATATTCAACATTTCCCACATTGGCCCAGAGTTCAAAACAGTGACGGCTTGTTGGCCCCATGCTTCTGCAGGGTTGTTTGCAAAAATGAATTAAGCAAATGAAAATTCATTTACACTATAAACTCACTTGCCAAGAGCAACATCAACCATAAGAATCTCCATTCTTGCCCTGACTTAACCTTACAGCAACATGTACAGTCCCGTGAACTATGCTCTGAACTCAAAAGATTACAAGAACAAGGAAATACTAACTACCTCACAGAAATACATTGACTACCTCACAGAGTGTATCCAAAGCAAGACCTTCAACTTAAATCCCAATAACCATCACCCCAACATCCAACAATAGGCATGCAAGCCCCTTACTTCCTCCAGACCCACTCCTACATATCTAAAATGCAAACTACTCAACACAAGAAACCTCACAAACAAAATTCATGAATTCATCATCTTACTAGCACAGCCATATTCGATATTATATTTGTCTGTGAGACGTGGTTGAATGCATCTTTTCCAGACTCCATTACCACAGTCAGACAATATCACATTTATCAGTCAGAAATCCGTAGAGAAGGTGGAGTTGCTATCTTCTATAAAAAAAATCTCTAAATCTAAGAAAGATTCAAATTACACAAGAGCTTGCTCTTCCAGAGACCATCGTTTGTGAACTGTCCTTAAATACCACTATCCGCTTCTTACTATGCTACAGAGCCCCTGATTATGACATAGTTCATGCAAACAAACTAACTTCACTGCTGACATGGGCTGCCTCTTGTCCACACCCTCTTATTTTCCTTGGTGACCTCAATCTACCTCTTATAGATTGGACCCTAAACAAATGTACTGCACATCTGAACCCATAATGCAACCCTGTACAATGCTGCTACTACACTGGCACTAGATCAATTAGTAACTAACAACACTAGACTCAACAACTGCCTCAACCTCATCTTCTGCAACAGCTCAAATTCAATTTATGGCCTACAAATACAAGAACCTTTTCAAACAGTGACCACAGTAAGATTGACTTTTGTCTCAATTTACGCCCTCACAAAGAAGATCATAATGATGGATCTCCAAAATACAATTTCAAAAAAGCCAACCATGATCTCATAGATGCCGACCTATCATCTCTTGATTGGCACATTCTGTTCTCTAACTTTAATACTACAGAAGACCATTATAATGCATTCTTACTTGAACTTGAAAGAGTCATTAAACTATATGTACCATTAGTAACCCCTAAAAACAAAAAACAAAAAAATACAAATTATCCATAACAATAAGAAAACTCCAATTAAAAAAAATCACTATGGCATAAAAACAAAACTAGCTATTGTAGCAAACTTTAAAAACCAATACAACACCTTATGCTGACAGATAAAGGTAGAATGTACAAATTATTACTGCAAATAGGAAGAAAACCTCCTATGTACAAAATCTACCCACGCCTTCTAAAATTTTGTAAACACCAAACTTAAAGACTCAAGAACCATCCCACTTCTAAAGGGACTAAATGGGAAAGACTGCAGTGATGAAACTGTTAAGGCCTCTTCAACACATTCTTCAGCTCAGTCTTTGTTAACAGCAATGGCTCATGCTCCACATTTCCTAATCGTACCACAAACTGCAATGATCTACTACATGTTGACTTTACAGAAGATAATGTAGAAAAGGCATTATGTAATCTAAAACCATCCCTATCTATTGGCCCAAATGGATTATGTACATACTTCTTAAAAAAGCTTTCCTCTGCCACAGAAGAACCCCTAAGCATTATATATGATATATCATTCAGAACCAGCTCCTTACCGAACCTATGGTCCTTAGCTACGGTCATCCCTATCTTCAAAAAAGGTGACCCCAGCCTGGTTGAAAACTAAGACCAATTTCACTGCGTTGTGTCACGTGCAAAGTCATGGAATCAATCATTAACCAATTCATCACCCTCCACTTACCCTCCACCCTCCACAAACAACATATTCTCCAAAAAAAACAATTTGGTTTCAGGAAAATATTGTCCTGCAACCTACACTGCAAAAACATATGGACTACTCTACTAGACCAGGGTAAAGCAATAGATGCAATTTACATAGACTTCTGCAAAGCCTTTGATTCAGTGGTACATGACAAACTACAGTTAAAACTAAACTCTTATGGCATTTCTGGATAAGTGGATTACTGTATACCTGGCAAACAGGCAACAAATAATAAAAATAGGGAGCGCTATATCAAACCCTGCTCCAGTTAACGGTGGTGTCCCTCAAGGCAGCATTCTAGGACCCACATGCTTTATACTCTATATAAATGACCTTTGCGATCACCTTATAAGCAACTGTGTCCTCTTTGCGGATGATGTAAAACTATTCAACACCACCGACAATGCTACTGCTCTTCAAAGTGACCTTGCTTATGTGTCTGAATGGTCAAATAATTGGCAATTCCAAATCTCAACCAACAAATGCTCTGTCCTACACATTGGTAAAAAAATCAGTACACCAAATACAAACTAGGCAGATATGACATCATTGATGACCCTCATTCTGTCAAGGACCTAGGAGTACTCATATCTAATGACCGAAGCTCCAGAGCTCACTGTAACAGCATTGCCAAAAAGGCATTAAGAGTTGTAAATCTAATTTTATGAAGCTTCTCTGGAAATATTGAATTGCTAACTAGGGCATACAAAACCTTTGCTAGACCAATATTCGAATACAGCTCATCTGTCTGGAATCTGCACTGTATATCACAATTGAGCGAGTCCAGAAGTATTTCACGAGAAGAGTACTACACTCCTCTGCTTGCAACAGAATACCCTGTATCACCAGACTTGAAAATTTGGGCTTGGACAATCTTGAACTATGCCACCTATGATTGCACTTAAGCATAATTAAAAAAAATTATCTGCTACAATGTCCTACCAGTCAATGACTACTTCAACTTCAACCACAACGATACAAGAGCACACAACAGATACAAATTCAATGTTAACCGCTCCAAACTTGATTGCAGAAAGTACAACTTCAGCAACAGAGTGGTCAGTGCCTGGAATGCACTATCTGACTCTGTAATTACATCCTCAAACTCCCACTCCTTTAACCTCAAACTATCCACTATTGACCTCACCCCATTCCTAAGAGGTCTATAAGGGGTGTGCATAAGTGCACCATCGTGCCTCCCGTCCCTGTCCTATTGTCCCCATTTAATCGTACCTATTTCCTGTATTCTTACTTATGTTTATACTTATACCTATTATTTTGTAACGATTGAGAAATCAAATAAATAAATAAATAAATGTTTCATTGAATGTGGAGCTTGCCTGTTCCAAGGACCGGGATGGATTGTCCCTGGTAGTCCCTCAAGGCCATGTTGCAGGGGTCCAGGTGGTCCTTTCTGATGTCTGGAACCAGGTTCTTCAGTGTTTTTTAGGATAGGAGGGATAGGGAGGAACCAGTGTCCACCTCCATGCAACAGGGGCTGCCTTCTAGGCGAAGATCAACATTAATTTTATTAATATTGAAACAATAGGGTAGTGATTCAGCTCTTGGGAATGCTTTGTTGAGGCATAGCATTTTTCTTTGGGTTTGAAACTTCTTGGCAGGTTTGTGTTTCTTGGTGCTTGGCAGATTCTAGCCAGGTGACCCTTCTTTTGGCAATTTAGGCAGACTACATTTCTGAAATGGCAAGTGGTTCTCAGATGGTTTCCTCCATAGCTGAGGCAAATCAGCTGTGGTGTAAGTTGTCTCTTGTCTGTAGGGAGACTTCCTCTTTGCATGGGCTGAGGTGTTTTGAGGCAGTTTATTGCTTCTTCTTCTTCGAAGTATTCTTCTTCAAAGTATATGTCTTCATAGTGTACTGTAGAGTTAAGTTTTGCTTCGGGAAGGCTGCCTGATTTTTGGATCTCTGCTGCGGATGGAGCTGACAGTTCAGCTGCTTGCACTTCCTTGATTGCCTTCTTTAAGCTGAGGTCAGCTTTTGCAAGCAGTCGCCTTTGCAGCTGAAGGTCTCTCACCCCACAGACGAGTTGGTCCAGCAGCATATCATCCAGCCAGTCTCTGAAACCGCATTGCAGGGCGGAGGACCTAAGGGCTGCCATATACTCACTGACAGATTCCCTCTCCTCTTGACTTATTTACTGGAAAGCATGGTGGCGGGTGATGCGTGATGGTTTGGGGGCATAATGGTTTCCGAGCACCACCTGCAGCTCTTCCCAGGTGACAACCTTTACTGTCTGGGGTGCCAGTAAGGTGGTGGCTGTGTCAGACTGTTGCCCCACAGAAACTCAGGAAATAGGCTTTTTTCCTGTTTGGAGGAATGTTGGATAGATTAGTGGCGTCCATAATGCATTCAAATGTATTGATGTACGATATCCATGTCTCTGTGGTCAGATGAAAAGGCGGGAAGTTCGCTGGTGCTGCCATTTGCCGCTTGTTCAGTGATAGCTCTTAGTGACAGCTCTCTCTCTTTTGCCTGAGACTCTCCTCAGCTCACTAGCATCCCATCCTTGTGACCAGTTTTAAGGTTTGGTGCACAGGAGAGAGGAGGCAGAGGCAAGTTAGTTTTAACATAGCTTTATTGCAAGCTTGTATCTCAGCTGAGGCTAGCCGCGGCTCACGTGGCAGCCAGCTGAGAGAGAGATTCTGTTTGACAGCTCCTTTTATTCAGAGCTGTCAAATGGCTCAGCCAATCAGGGGCCTTTCCGTCTCCCACTCAAAAAGTAGACCGGAGTGAGGACTGCTGTTGAATGCAACAATATGTATGTATGTGGATGGATGGATGGATGGATGGATGGATAGATAGAGGAGGGAGGGAGGAAGAGAAAAAAGAGAGGAAGGAAGGACCACAAACTCACAGACAAATATCACCCCAAACCACCCCCAAAGTAATTAATCCAAGCTGTATGGGAACACAAGGCTACATTGCCCATCTGGCCCATGGGAACACAAGGCTTGCATCGCTTGCATTGCAAACAACATGAGGTAGTGGGGGGGAAGGGCGGAGTGAGGGAACTTGCTCCACTTGCCACAAGCATCTGGCTTGGCCACCGGGCTGCTTCTTTCTACTTTTTTCTTCTTCTGCTTTTTGGCAAGGAAATCAGCAAAAGTCTTTCTTTCTCTTCCCCAAATTCCACCAGAAATGAGTCTTTGGGGCACTGCAAGGCATCCTGCTCCAAGAGGCTGCGCCAGTGTGACAGATCTCACAAAGACTCATTTCTGGTGGAGTTTGGGGGACAGAAAGAAAGACTTCCGCTGCTTCTGCTGCTTTCCTTGCATGAAGCCAAAAGTCTTTCTCTCCCCACCCACTGAGAACAGAGCTGGAGACAGTATCCTGCAATCCCAAATAAAAAATGGTTGATCGGTAGAAAAACGGGATGGGGGATTTTCCTGCAGACTTTTTTTGGTATTTTCCTAGGGTCCCTGTTGCTTTGTGCAGAGACCCTGGGCAAACGTCAGCAAGCCACCATCAGTCAAAATTCGTATTAGGGGTCCGCAGGATTTTAAATTATGAGTTTGATGGTTCCTGAGGTCCAAAAGGTTGGCAACCCCTGTGCTAAAGAACTGGCAGCTATTATTTCAATTTTTTCTGTTTAAAATATTTTGTCTAAGGAATGATGATAGAATGTTGTTCTTAAATTATGTAGTGGGAAAATATGTTCTCAATATGCATTAGTCCAATAGTTTTCATACTGAAATAAACTATTTCAAAAATCAAGAGCAATATCCAAAATTCTTGAGTTATAATACAAGTTTTCAGGATAATATTTTCATAGAATCTTAGTCAATAATGCAAAGAAATCCAAAATGTACCTCATGATTTTTATGATTGTAAGCCATTCAGAGTCATCCTGTGATAACCTGGGTGTCTATAAATTTTATAAATAAATAGACAATTCCTCCAACTCTATCTACTTAAGAAATTATGGATCAGTAATTTTTAACAGTCCATGTGTTTCTCTAATGCACATTTCAGTTCCACAAAGGCAAAGTAAATGTCATAAAATATTCTATTCTACAACATCCATTGGCAAATAATTGACATCTGTTTTCTGTTGTCCTGCTACAGTTGTGCTACTCAGAACAGAAGCTTCAATTTTCTTAATTATTTCCTTTTTATTCATTCTGGGTGAGGAATCCAAGTAATTCTTAAAAATTGAATGGGAATCAACATTACATTTTGCTAATAGATGCAGCAGGATCAGGAAATATACTAATATAAAATAATGTGATGAGATTTGATTGATTTAATATTTATATTCTGCTTTTCTGTTTAAAAACAAGGATTAAGGAACTTATAAAAACAATGCAATCTAACAAAATGATGAAATATGTGCATTTTAACCAAGGAATGGCTACCATTGCCTTCCAATATATCACTGACCTTTTTAAAATATAGACAATTAAGAAAGGCATCAGTACTAAATCTCCAGCAAAGACAAGAGTGGATGGCTGATTAAAATTATTTTAAACAGGAAAATCTTTCTGTTCAATACAGCAGAAAGCAGAAAGAAAAAGAGTAACAAATTTCTAACAGGCTCATGCAATGTTATGGAAATATCACCAGTAAGGCCTTGCCTCTTGTAGTCACCCTATTTGATCTTTCCTACCAAAGAGAACAAGGCACGGGTCTGAGCCTTGCTGACAAAAAGTCGGTATGGATTTCACAAAGGTAAATCCTGTTGTTTTTTTAGAGTTTTTGAGATTGCCAATAGGCATATGGGAAGAAGTAATCTATAAACCTTGTAAACATGGATTTTTAAAAGCCAGCAACAAAATCCCTCATGAGGAGTCCTGGAATAGAATAGAATAAAGTTCTTTATTGGCCAAGTATGATTGGACACACAAGGAATTTGTCTTTGGTGCATATTATGCTGTCAGTGTACATAAAAGGAAAAATACATTCATCAAGAATCATAAAATGCAACACTTAATGATACTCATAGATTACTAATAAGCAATCAAATCATACTAGGAAACAAATAAAACAATATAAACTGTAAAGATACAAGCAACACAATTATAGTCATAAGTGGGAAGAGATAGGTACTAGGAAGAATGAGAGGAATAATAGTAATACAGCCTTAGTAAATAAGTTGACAGTGTTGTGGGAATTAGTTGTTTAGCAGAGTGATGGCATTCAGGGAAAAATGTCCTTGTGTCTAGCTGTTCTGGTGTGCAGTGCCCTATAGCATCATTTTGAGGGTAGAAGTGGAAACTATTTATGTCCAGGATGTGAGGGTTATGTAGTTATTTTCACAGCCCTCTTTTTGACTCATGCAGTACACAGGTCCTCAATGGAAGGCAGGTTGGTAGCAATTGTTTTTTTTCTGCAGTTATAATTATCGGTTGAAGTGTGTGTCTGTCTTGTTTGGTTGTAGAGGCAAACCAGATCATTATAGAGGTACAGATGACAGACTCAATAATTCCTCTGTAGAACTGAATCAGCAGCTCTTTGGGGGGGGGGGTTGAGCTTTCTGAGTTGGTGCAGAAATAACATTCTTTGTGGTGCTTTTTGATGATGTTTCTGATGTTAGATGTCCATTTTAAGTCTTAGATATGATAGAACCTAGAAACTTGAAGGTCTCTACTGTTGATACTGCTGTAGTATTGTAAGAGATGGTTATATAGGAGGGTTTCTCCTAAAATCTACCACCATTTCTATGGTTTTGAGTGTATTTAGTTCAAGATCATTCTGGTTGCAACACAAGGCTAGTTGTTCAACCCTCCTGTCTGTATGCAGATTCATCGTTGTCTCAAATGAGACCAATGACTGTTGTATCATTGCAAACTTCAGTACTTTAACAGAGGGATCTTTTGAGATGCAGTCAATGGTATATAGAGAGAAGAGAAGTGTAAAATGCACACGGCCGGGGGGGGGGGGGGCTCCTGTGCTAATTGTACACGTGTCTGGTGTTATTTTGCCTATCTTCACCTGCTGCTTCCTGTCTGTAGGAAGCTTATGATCTATTTACAAGTGTGGTCAGGTACAGCTAGATGATTTAGTTTAGTTAGAAGAATATCTAGAATGAATACAAGTGTGGTCAGGTACAGCTAGATGGTTTAGTTTAGTTAGTAGAATATCTGGAATGAGGGTATTGATGGTATTGAATGCTGAACTGCATAGGTCTTTGGAAATTCAAGATGTTGTAGGATGTAGTGCAGAATCATATTAACAGCATCATCTGTCGATCTATTTGCTTGGTAGGCAAATTGCAAGGAATCTAACAGAGGATCCATGATGGTTTTCAGGTGGGCCAGCACTAGTCTTTCAAAGGTCTTCATAACTACAGATGATAGAGCAACTAGTCTGAAATCATTCAGTTCCTTGATGGAAGGTTTCTTCAGCACCGGGATGATAGTAAAGCATTTGAAGCAAGAAGAAACATAACACATCCCTAGTGATTTATTAAAGATACAGGTGAAGATGGGAGTCAGTTGGTCAGCACAAACTTTTAAGCAAGAAGGGGTTATTTTGTCTGGGTCTAGTGCTTTTCCTGGCTTTTGTCTGTGAAATAGACCTTGCACCTCATGTCTGCATAAAATTATGCAGGTTGCTGCATTTTGAAACAACTAGAGGTAGGTTGTAGGAGGCTTGGCTTTTTTTGGTGTGCCTGGGATGGGGATTGTGAAGATGAGTGGCAGTAGTTTTCTCTCAAACCTACAGTAAAACACATTCAAGTCATCTTCCAGTTGTTGATTTCCTTCAGCATGGGAAGGAGGTTTGCTGTAACCGGTGATAATTTTTAGAGTTTTCCACATGTTTTCTGGTTCATTTGCTGAGAACTGATTCTTTAACTTTTCAGAGTAGCTTCTTTTTGCTGCTTTGATCTTCTTTGTTAATACGTTTCTAGCCTAATTGTACAGTATTCTATTGCCTTTTCTGTAGGCTTCTCTTTGCTACAATGTACCTGCTTAAGTTTAGCTGTGAACCAAGGTTTATTGTTACTGTATAATCTCAGGTTTCTGGTTGGCACACACAGGTCTTCACAAAAACGGACATATGATGTTACAGTATCTGTGATCCAAGTCTTCAGAGGTATCTTCAAAAACATTCCAAATCAGTGCAGTCAAGGCAAACCTGTAACTTTAGCTTTGCCTCCTCAGTCCAAGTCTTCACTGATTTAATTGTTGGTTTCATGGTTTTAAGTCTTTGTCTGTAAGCAGGTACAAGGTGAATCATACAATGATCAAAGTGCCCCACAGCTGCTCGTGGTAAAAAATGATAAGCATCTTTTAATGTTGTGTAGCAATGGTCTAAAATATTATTACCTCTAGTGAGACAATTGACATGCTGAAAATATTTTGGTAGCTCTTTCCTTAAGTTTGCTTTATAAAAGTTTCCTAAAATAATTTGAAATGAATCTGGGTATTTAACTTTAGCCCACATAATCTGGTCAGCTAGAATTCATAATGCATTGTTTACACAAGCTTGTGGAGGAATAAACTTAGGACCTGCTCTTTGATGAACTGTTAAGTATTTAAAAATGGAAAGAAACAGCAGGAATAAACAGACCATCTTCAAAAGAGAAGGAAATAAAAAATAGTTAAAAGCAGGCCTAGTGTTAGAATCGATGAAACCACTTGTTTTTAATCTCTATTTTGTACAGAGTAACCAGATCCTATCTTGTTCAGTTTTGTTTTTATTATTTATTACATGGTGAATGGCATAGAGTCAATTTATAATGGAACAGTGTCTATCTAAACTGATCTAATGGTTTTAATTCACCATTTCTATGCAACTGAATAGGTCCAACTGAATTGAGATGCTCATATTTGCCACCGAAACATTTCTGTCTCTTCTAGATATTAATGCTGCTTTTAGTATTGCTGCAATTATACCTAAATGATTTGGATGTTATGAGTTAATTTCAATAGCAGCTTTACCTCAAGCCTAAACTTGTTGAAATCCTAAATTATATTTATTTACAGAATATTTGCTATTTCATTAGCATTTTAGTGAATGTTCAATAAAACAGCAATTGGGTTTATTTAAAAAGCAAAAAAAAAAAAAAAGATTTCCCATGATACATCAGATTCTGTTTCTAACATTGAAAATTAGAGAAAAATGCCTTTATGGCTGCTTTTAAGAATTCATTTGGCTGGGTATTAGGCCATTAATAGTCATTAGCACACTTTCAAATATAGTGCCAGAGTGATAATAAAATCAACACCTCCTCATTTTATATTGAATCACTGCCAAAGTGCATTTGGTCTTGTCACTACATAACAATGCATGTGATACTTAAAATATCAATAGAAACATTGAATAAAAGCATTTTTTCATTCATTTGAAAAATGCTACAATTTGAAAAGACAGCTACTTTCTAAATTGAAATCAATACTTAATATTACTCAGTTAAGAATGAAGGATAGATGCTGGCATTTTAAGGAGTTTAAATTCAATTTTGAACTTTTTTCAATAGGTTATAAAAATAATACACTGGGCAAACCTTGCAGATAAATTTAAACTTAGTTCAGTTGATGGAATAATAACATTGAGGATAGTATCTAACAATAGTTTGTATCTTATGAATTTGTGAACTCTTGTGATTCAGTTTTTTGAATGTCTGCTTGAGTTTAACTTGGGAATAAAATTCTAAATTCTAGAAAGAAAAAGAAGATATTAAGGAGACCAGGGAATAAAGCAGTGGTTATAGTTCTTTTCAGAGATTAACATGATGGGAAAAATAGGTGCCACTGATTGATCCTGTGGTGTCCTATCCATGTAGCTGAATCACAATGCACGTACTGTTTGAGAAGTCCTGGAACAAGAATGTTTTCCACATTATTTGTATCAGTGATACAATAATTTACAAAAGTGACCAAACAATGATCTACATCATATACAAAACCTACACGCATGCATACAGCAACATCTCCATTGCAGGCTTCAGTGAATGAGCTTAACCAACTATTATGGCTATCTTCTTCTTTTCACATGGTGACAATTACAAAAGTGAAAAATTACTAAAGCAATCTCTAATTTTATGCACTTTATGCTCCCATCCATATAGGTCAGGATGCCAAATTTCCCTAGACTCTATTTCTCAGATCTAACCACTTCATTGGTGATAAAGTTCTAAAATAAAGCCTCTCTTAAGCAGTAATGAAGTGTATTCAAGCATATGCATCTTAATGTACCTTTCAGAATGGAGTATATTTGTTACATCTTCTAAAAGTTAAAAAAAAATAATCCTGACGTGTTTGCAGGTATTTTACTATAATATTTTTGTTTGTTTGTTTTGTAATGGTTTTTGTTTAAATGCTTTAACTATTCTTGTTGATATGGGCTTTTAAATTTCTTTCTCTGTATGTGCATGTATGTGTATGCGCATATGTGTGTGTGTGTGTTTGTATGTTTGTATGTTTCTTTATCATTTAGTTAAATGTGATTGAAATAAAAAGAAAACACTGTAATACTAAATAGAAAAATGAGAAAACACTAAAAATACTAAAACACTTTTGAAGAAGCAAAACTTTAATCAAATTTTATTCTTAAATAGATTATAAGAATGGCAATGGGAATGAATAAAAACTGTACTACAATCACAACTTGCTTGCCCTCCTGTTGTCACATGTCTGCTGTCATTTATAATGTTTCTGTGAATACGTCTCCTTTTCATCATATTTCTCCTTAGGTTTTTTGTCTTTGACGCTATTATTTTTTGATTTCTTTGACCAGCTATGCTGAAGGCCTTCCACGTAACATGCTGATAAGGAAATTAGCTGCACCTACAGGTGAAAGGCAATGATGTTTTATTTTAAATTCCAGAATTGGGAGAATTAGCATCTCTACTTTGCTACCTTCTTGACAGCATTTTGATACAAGCTTTTATACATGTTATTAAGGTAAGTTCAAAGTCAATAGGACAATACAAATAAGAAGATGAAATCATAGAAATAATGACAGAGGAAACATTTTGATCAGCTTTAGCGGTTATGTAGTTGAGTTATTAACAGCAATCAGGATAGGACTAGATATAGTTTGGAATAGTTACAGGCACTTTACAAAAGTCTTGAAAACTATAAACAGGAAGAATTTTAAGCAATGCTTGCTTGTAGTCAGGGAAAGGCCAGTTGAGTGATCCTGAGAGTCTTAATTGGAGGGGGAAAGATCCTATAATGATAAGGAAGTGTTGGAATAATAAAAGAGGAGGAATGGAAGGAAAACCTGTCTGATTTATATCAGGAAACACAGGAGCTCTGTGTAAAACCTTTGTCTCAATCCCCAACCACCCTCAAGACTCCTGAATTTCAGCCCTTCTAGAAGAATACACAAGGAGATGTTGACATGAAATGACTCTCAAATAACCCAGGAGTAGGGAACAGAATGACAGCTTTCTGTGAGCTTCCCTTGCAAAATGCAAACAGGGAGTCCTCAACTTATGACCACAATTGAGCCCAATATTTCCATTGTTAAGTCAGACAGTTGTTATATAAATCTTGCCCACCTTTCTTTCCATAGTCATTAAATGAATCACTGCAGCTGTTAAGTTAGTAATATGGTTGTTAAATGACTTGCTTGTCAGAAGATCACAAAAGATGATGACCCCGGGACACTGCAACCATTATAAATATGAGTTAGAGTCCTAATTTTGATTATGTGACCTGGAAATGCTGCAATGGTCCTAAGTGTGAAAAAGGTTATAACTCATTTTTTTCCAGTGCCATTGTAACTTTGAACAGTCATAAAATGAACTGTTGTAAGTAAAGGACTCCATGTATCTACTTTGTATTTGTATTGCTGCAATAGCACAACAATGATTTTGACACTTTGTCCTCAATAGTTATGAGGCTTAGGAGTGAAAAAAATTGTATGTCATTTTCAAAGAACTTCTGAGAGGCAGAGGAGTGGACTCTAGCGTAGTGCCTTAAGATCCCTTTTCTATGTTGCGAGCCCTTTGCTGATCAACAATGAAGTGTGCAATCCCAAAGAAGGAAGGACACAATCTGTTTTGTGAAGAAGTGCCATAAAACCCATAAAAACATCTCAATTTATTTTTTTGCTGGTCCCAAGTAAATATTCACCCTCTTCCCACCAAGTAAACCTTGGAGAGTTGAAGTCTAATCTGAGCACATACCATTGTCTGCTAGTTTAATTGAAACTTCACAAACATGCTCAAGAGTTACTGACCTTTGCTTGCATTTTGGTTGAATCTTTGATTAGGATCCACTTTATTCTAAGTGTTTTTCTCTTAAGAAACTCGCAGATCAGTTTGTTTCTTCCCCTGTCTCCCCTGGACTCTTTTTCATGTCTCTCCCTTTATTATGTGATATAGTTTATTGTTAAGTCCCTGACATTTCAAGTGAGGGTCACTGTATTTATGCAGTGCCAGTAACTTGAGAATATATTTATATGTGTTGAGTATGCTCTTTGCCATTGTTCTGCAAATTAAGAGACATGAAACCAAATAGTGATAATGTGTTATGATTAAGGTTAATAAGCTACTGATTATCTCTATAGAATACAATTGCAGACACATTATTTAAATGGGATTTTGCTTAGATTAACTGAAAAAGGAACACTTTCATCTGTATTGATAAAAACACTTGCAATTCCTCACATAAAAGTTTAACACCCCAACCAAAGTTTGCTATGAACTTTCTGACAAAGTGAAGAAATTTAACTATTACCTTGAAGATCTCTTGTAGGCCTTTGGCTCTATTGGCCAAGTCTTCAGTATTGTATTTAGGGGAATAGGGCAATCTCACTCTATATAGAGATCTCCAAACTTGGCAACTTTAAGACTTGTGGACTTCAACTCCCAGAATTCTCCATGCTGGCTGAGGAATTCTGGGAGTTGAAGTCCACAAGTCTTAATGTTGCTAAGTTTGGGGACTCCTGCTCTATAAGATGAATACGGTGATGGGGATTTTCTAAATGGTTCTATAAAGGAATAGCCAATTATCCTAGGCCAATGCTGTTTCCTAGCAAAGAAGAAATAAAAATAAGAGCAGTGGTGGGATTCTACTGGTTTAGACCAGTTTGGGTGAACCGGATGTTAAAGTTACATCTGATTCACTGAACTGGTATTTAAACCAACCGGTTGGCCCCACCCACCCAGCCCTCCCCTCCCAAGAGTCTCCATGTGGCCCATTTTCAATGGAGGTAAGTGCAGGGTTCGCGTGGAGCCTCTGGGAGGGAAAAACGGGCCTTCTGGAAGTCCGGAATCAGGCCTGTTTCCAGGTTCTGGTGGGCCAAGCCATTTTCACCCTCCCAGAGGCTCAAGGGAAGCCTCTGGATCATTGGGAGGGTGAAAAATGGCCCTCCTGGAACTACCAGAAGTCTGGAAACAGGCCTGTTTCTGGCCTTCAGAGCCTGGAGGAGGCCATTTTTTCCCTCCCAGTGGCCTGGGGGAGGCCTCTGGACCCTTGGGAAGGTGAAAAACGCCTCTCCTAGAAGTACTGGAAGTCCAGAAATGAGCCTGTTTCTGGCTTCCGGTGGGCCTTCAAATTTCCACTACTGGTTCTCCAGAACTGGTCAGAACCTGCTGAATATCACCTCTGCTTGGGAAGGCAAAAAACAGCCCCCCGGGCTCTGAAGGCCTACCAGAAGCCAGAAACAGGAAGTTCCAGTAGGCCATGGCCACCATGGCAATGCCCACACAGCAACTGGGCAGCGAACTGTTTGCTGGGATTTTTTAATCTCACCCCTGAGTAAGAGTTGTTAATCAATAAATAGGTTACTACAAATAGGTCACTACATGTGAAGGCCACCCCTTCACTTTAAGACAAGGCTGGATAGTCATCTATCAGAGACGATATAATAAATTTTGCATTATGCAGGAGAATTGACTTGATGATCTGGTTGATTCCCTTCAATTCTCTCCCCATGTTTTTCTCCTGGCCTTTCCTCTAACTCTGTTTACATTCCAATTCTCCTGGCAGTTAAAATTCTAGACTCTGAATCATTTCATATTTTAAGTTATTCAGTGATACATTTGATTTTCTTTTCAACATCGAGCCCAAGGAGACCTTAAGCACTCATGGTTTATGCATATTAAGAAAGTAAAGATCTAAACCCAGGTTCTGATCATACTTAATATCACAACTAAAAACCGTTGTGTATTAATCTTATCTTATATGAGCTGCTTCTCAGTCACTCCATTCTGGATTTGATCTACAGTTCTAGAATTCAGTTCAATTGACAGTAATTTCAAAAAAGAAAATACTTAATAGGGCAGCTAATTAAAACAATGTCATAAGATCTGGCAATAATTTAGATGGGTTTAAAAGGAAAATAATTTTCTGTGGGAAGATTGATAATTTAATGACACTAGCTTTGATTCTTATCATGTACAGGAACATTAGAAGCTACTAGACAACCTTGTGACCTCTTGGTTCATTCCTTGAGAAAAAGGTAGTATATATATAAAATAGGTAGAAAAAAAATTGAAGGGACAAACGAACTTAAATAATGAATCAATATTTTACCTACCTAAGCAAATAAATAAAAATAACATAGCAGGCAAAAAAGCACTGGGAGGAGGAGTGACATTTGATTTCCCACCAATTTTCCCATTCCCTTTGCTTATGGGAAATTGACAGAGAACATTGGAAATCATAACTATGTGACTTGGCATATGCTGCGGTAGCAATAGCACTTAGACTTACTTACTGCTTCACAGTGCTTTACAGTCCTCTCTAAGTGATTTACAGTGTCAGCATATTGCCTCCAACAATATAGGTCCCCATTTTATCAACCTTGGAAAGATGGAGGGAAACCTTGAGCTACTGAGGCTTGAACTGCTGGCAGCAGATGCTGCAATAGATCTGTTTTTTATATAAAAAGTTTTTTAAATTTTTTAATTATTTGAATACATCTTTGAGAGAACAGTGTGGTTCCATGTGTTTTACATTTTAAATCCATCATATCCACAATCACAAATACAGCTTTCTAACATTACATCATTATCTATTACCAAATTTTCTTCTTTATATTCTCATAAATTACTTTATAAAATAGAATAGAATTCTTTATTGGCCAAGTGTGATTGGTCACACAATGAATTTGTCTTGGTGCAAATGCTTTCAGTGTACATAAAAGAAAAGATACATTCATCAAGAAGCATCATCAAGAAGCATCAGGTACCACATTTAATAATAGTCATAGGGTTAGGGTTATATCAATCTCTTTATTTTTAATCAATGTCTATCTTCTTTGATCTTATATTCTTACATTCAACGTATTATAGTTTAGTATATTCATGTCAATTCATTAATCATTCAAAATTTCATCTTAATTTATTTCATCCCCTTTCAGGGGTGGAATTCAAATTTTTTAACAACCGGTTTTGTGGGTGTGGCTTAGTTGATGGGCATGGCTTGGTGGTCATGTGACTGGCTGGGCGTGGTCAATTCAACATCACTCACATCAAGGCATGCATCTCCTCACCTGGCCTCTCATGACTGTGGGGATGCTGCAACAGTCATAAGTGTGAAAAACAGCCATAAGTCACTTTTTTCAGTGCCATTGTAACTTTGAATGGTCACTCCACACAAGCAAAGTACCAGCAAAGGAGGAAAAAAAGCTCCAGAGATGTTCCTGAGACAGGAAGTCTAGTCATGCCAATAATGTAATAAGAGTTAATGGAGAGGCATTTTCTGTAAGCAACACCAGAATGTTTCCTTCCTACCTTCCTTACAGGATTAGGCCAGTAATTTCTTCTAACAACCGGTTTTCTGAACTGCTTAGAATGTTAGCAACCACTTCTAGCGAATAGGTGCGAACCTGTAGAATCCCACCCCTGCCCCTTTCCAATATTACATTTGCCATTGTTGCATATATTTTTATTTTCTAAGTGCTCCCTTCCCTCTAACTCCTCATTTTTGCACAAATATATTTTCCATCTTATTTTCTTTTAGTCAATAATATCAAACTTATAATAATGTATCCTCATTGTCTTATACACATGAATAACAAAATATATAATTCATTAAAATATTATCCTATACTATATAATTATATCTATTCTCTATCAGACTCCACTTAACCTTCTCTTTCCCACCTTAAGTATGAGCCACTTATATCTTCCATAAGCATTTATCTGTCTTAATTAACATTATAAAATCTGACTTTCATAACTATTCCATTTTAATTATTCCTTCTTATTCTTTCTAATTCTTAATCCAAACTCCTCAATATCTTCATGTGGAGTCCCCCTCTTTCCCATTGCCAACCATCATCTGTAAGTCTCTCTTCTACCTTAGTTTGTAATTTTTTTGGCTTGCTTACAATTCTCTATCATCTTTTGGCTTTTGCCCTTAATCCTTCCTCCATTCTTCATTATTTTCTGATATTTTTTCTCCCAATTCTCAAGATTTATCCCCATCCTCTTCTGGTCTCCTTTCTGTAATTTCCTAACCATTTTATTCTCAGCAATCCAATTTTAATATTCCCTCCTTATTTATTACATCAATCAATAATCTCAAGTTCAATTTCTTTTTTCTTCTTTTGTATTATTTGTTGTTCCTCTTGTTCTGTTTCACTGGTTTCTCTTTTTTGGCTCCTCCCCCTTCTTTGTTCTTTCTCCTCCTCCTCCTCCTCCTCCTCCTCCTCCTCCTCCTCCTCCTCCTTTTTCTTCTTGCATTGCCATTTCTGAGTTATTCTCTATGTTCTGTATTTTAGTGCATAACTCCAAAGCTCTCTCACATCTCACTCATAACTCGAAAGTCCATCTTAATTTTTTTGCATATATCGCTCATCTTTATGTTACTAATTATTCCAATTGTCCAATATCCAGTAGTTTTTGTTTTATTTAAACCAGTGTCTCTTTAATTTTCAATATCAATGTCCTCCAATCTTTATTTCCCAATATTAATGACTCAAAGTCACCAATAAGTCCAGGGGTAATGTCTTCTAATGTTCCTTACTGTTTAATTTTAATATATTTCAGCTTCCAGAGGTCTTAACCTTCATTTTATTCCTTTTTTGATTAAATAATTAGCTTGAAGGGATCTGCAGGATTGTTCTTTCGTCAACTGGTGGTGCTTTTAATCCAGTTTCACAACCAAGCTTTTTCCATTTCTTTCAAAAATTAAATGTTATTTCTCTTTTAGAACAATTATTTCCAACATTTAAAATAATGCCTTCCCATGCCAAATCCTGACTGATTGCCAATTCCAAATCAGTGTTCTTTCAAATTAATTCCATTTAAACTCTTTTTATTTACCAATTCTTCTTCTATCTTCCAAACTGCTGCTGATACAATTCTTTATATATCTTCTCTGTTATAGTCTTTTTGGGGTAAATAAAAAAAAAAAAGGATTCTTCTCACCCTTCTCCATACACCCTTCCCGATCTCCTCTCCAGCACTTCGCTTAGATGGTTCTCAACTATCCCAACTTTGAATTGGCCATCTTGGCTGCTCTTCTCTCCATTGTAGCATAAAGAGCAAGGTTGGGGTTCCCATGGGGGAATTGCGCTCTCCCCTGGAACCTCACCAGATGCCTCTGCTTAGCTTTGCAGCCCCTCCAAGGTGGCTTTCAGCTCTGTCTGGAGCCCACAAAATGGTGAGAAGCCAGTGCAGGAATGGAGACCTCCATTCCCTGCTTCTCGTTTCGTCACGACATCAGCCGGAAGTCATGCTGCAATAGATCTGAACATTGTGAAAATTCTACTGGAGTAGTGCATTATGGATAATTTTATGCACTATGATGGTTTCCCCAAACATTTCTCCAGACATTAGTTTGGATGATGAAAAGCCAGATCTAGGAATGTTTGGGGATGGACATGGAGATTGCCAGAGACTCTGAGCTAGCAGTGCAGAGGTGATATTCAGTAGGTTCTGACCAGTTCTGGAGAACCAGTAGCAGAAAATTTGAGTAGTTCAGAGAACTGGCAAATACCACCTCTGACTGCCTCTGCCCCCATCTATTCTCTGCCTTCCAAGTCCCAGCTGATCAGCTGGGTCTTCTTTTGTTGCCCTGCACAGGAGAATGGAGCTGGAAAGCAAGTTAGTGGGGTGGAGAGGAATGGGATTTTGCAGTAACCTTTCCTCAGGAGTGAAGATGGAATATATCCTTTCCCTACCATGCCCACCAAGCCATGCCCACCAAGCCATGCCACGCCCACCAAGCCATGCCCACAGAACCACTGGTAACATTTTTTGAATCCCACCACTGCAGCAGTGGCAAGACCAAGCATAGCAGAGCAGTCACAGCAGGAGCAACTGCATGAGCAGCCATGTGAGTTAGGGCCAGGAAAGGCACAGCTGCAGCTGGGAAGCCCAGAAGCTTCAGGAGGTAGAGGGATGCAGCTGTTCTTTGATAAAGAACAACACTATGAGAGTTGTATATGTCTCAACAGGTAGATAGTGGAAAGGCAAAATGCTGTTTTTTTCTGGCTCCCATGCACAAAGTATAAATGGTTTAGGATAAATGGGAATTATTTCCAAGTGAATGATGTGAATCATAGCTGTAAAAACTATACTTACATGATCAGGAAAAGAAATTCAAAATTAACATAGAAATTAGAATTGTGGGAGGAGAAGAGAGCTCTATTTAAAATAAAAAAGCAATATGGGGTAAAAGTAGGCTTGATACTGGAATAGGAAAAATTGAGGATTTCAGATTCAGGCTTTATTGTTTTCTGTTTTGTTGGTTCAGGCAACGATTACTTGGTGTTCCTTGCCAGAGAATCCTTTTCTGAGGACTATTACAAGAAGTTCCACAAAGCATCGAAAGTGGCAGCATTATTAAACTGAACACAGGGGCATTCTAATTACTTAGTATTCAAGATTTTGACTTTAATTAGAATTCTTTTGTCATACCATTCATCAAAAACACTTGAAAGAAATGGAAATTAGCACCAAACTTTACTGTCGCCTTAGGCACGCTTTTAATACTTTTACTCCTTTTAATTTTGTTGTAGTTGTTCAGTTCAGTGAAATGATTTAGTTGTGATGATGCACTTAGCTGTGATACCACTTTATTTATTTATTTATTTATTTTAAATGAGCGTGCACTCTTTAGAAGTGTTGTTTTGCTAAGAACGAGTAGGTGGCACCTTCAGCATTCCCCTTAACAGCAGCTTTACTGACAAATTTGGGCACATTTTAAACTTATTTAGAGACTGAATTTTGGCTTTTTTATTTGGGGAGGAAAATACCACAGATTTCTGTATATTTTGAGGAAAAAATAATTTCTATATTATAACTCTGATCCAAATAATCCAGCAAGCAAGCTGAATTTATGTATTTATTATAAATAACATAAGACTCTAATACTCCTTTATCTTCCTATTTTTCCTCAACAAGAACAACTTGTGAAGTAAGTGAGGTGATCTAAGAGAGAATGACTGGTCCAAAGTCAGCCAGCTGGCTTTGTGACTGAGATAGGACTAGAACTCACAGTCTCCTAGTTTCTAGCCTGGTGCCTTAACCACTAAACTGCTTTATCAATGTTTATCATTTTTCATTGTTTATCAAACTTTATTGCAAAAAGACAGGTAGATAAAAGGTTTGGAATCTTCTGAATTATACAGGACAATTTATCAATCAGGATGGGAGTATTATCATTTCCCCCATATTCTAAGTAGAATGTTTATCACTGAAAATAGCATGATACAATAGCATCAGAACAACATAAAGAAGCATTGAACAAATCAAAAGAAAAAAAATGAATATATCAACAAGCATGGAAATTGTGGCTGATAATGAAAATGCTTTAAATTAGCCTTCAAAATACCTTATAGTAATTATAGCTCATGTCTGTGTTGGATAGGTGTGTGTGTGTGTGTGTGTGTGTGTGTGTGTGTGTGTGTGTAGGCAGGCAGGCAGGCAGGCAGGCAGGCTGTCAGATGGTGCTCCATTCAAAATCCAAGAAAGAAATACTTAGACCCCATTAATTACAGAAAAGATATCTTTTACTGGAAGTCAAGTGGTAGCAACAAAAGAATTCTGAATCTGAGAAAATGAGCACGTAAATCACATATACAAAGTGATGGCAATGTTCCTACCCCCATTAGTTCACTTGGTTCATCCAATTAAAAGTTGTGTATAACATCATGTGGGCATCTCCAGGTGGTGATGAGGCCTCTGTCCATTGAGCTTGACATATTTTGATAAAGAGTTACGGCTGCTCATAGCATAGGATAGAAGCATAAGCAAGAAACCCCCCCCCCCCCAAAACTTATACAAGTCTGTTTTGTGAAACCTCCAGCTCGCTTCCCATAATCATGTCCCCCCTCATCCCCCCATTACTTATGACAGCCAAAAGATGCAAAGCAAAGGAAGAAAATATTGAAGGCTGACATTCGGCCCTCCTGCAAAAGAGGTCTTAGTCCTATAAAAGATAAAAATAGAAGATAACAGAAAATATACATGTAACACCATAATACTATATTTTAGGGTTTATCAGGATATTTAGTACGAAATGCCTTGATAAGCTTAGGAGCTCTAACATCCTTCTCATTCACCCATTTGGACTGGGGAAGAAGGAAAATGTTTCCAAACAACCAAATATCGGAGTCAACTCCTTTGTTTTTGAGAATCCAAAATTTCTTTAATTTCAAAATGTTGTTCACCTTCAATTAGCAATGGCATGGGGGTATTGACCTGAGTCAGTCTCAAGTCGAAGGTATGTTCAGGTTTTAATAAACTAACATGGAAAACAGGGTGGATCTGTCAGAGGGTTTTAGGTAATTTCAATTGGACTGCCACAGGGTTCACAATTCGTTCAATTGGGAAAGGTCCAACATACTTAGGTCCAAGCTTTTTTGACTTTTGTGTGGTCTGCAAATATCTGGTGGATAAAAATACCTTGTCACCAACTTGATATGGTTTTTGTGGAGTTCTCTTTTTAGCTGCAATTTTTTTATGGGCTTGATGAGCATCATCTAATGCTTTACAGGTAACCGACCAGGTAAGCTGGAGCTGTGTTATCCATTCATCTAATGACTGAATGTTAGGTTTCTCCTGTGGAAGCTCGGGTATGGGTAAAAAGTCTTGTCCTGAAGCCACTTTAAATGGAGTAAACCCAGTACTATTATGTACCGAATTGTTATATGCCACCTCAGTGAATGGCAGTAGGTCAGCCCAATCATCTTGCTGATAATTTATATAACATCTAAGATACTGTTCCAATTCCAAATCAGTCCTCTCACAAGCCCCATTGGTTTGTGGGTGGTGGGCAGAGCTTAAGCCCAGGGTGGAACCCAATAACTTTAGGAACTCCTTCCAAAAGTTTGAGGTAAACTGGACACCCCTGTCTGAGATTATGCGTTCAGGAACCCCTTGTAACCTGTAGATATATAAAATAAACAGTTTAGCCAATGTTTTCGCAGATGGAATTTTCGCACAAGGTATGAAATGTATCTGTTTGGAAAACAAATCTGTTACTACCCAAACAACTGTATTTTCCCCACTTTCAGGTAATTCCACTATAAAATCCATAGAGATTTCCTTCCATGGAGCAATTGGTCTAGCCACATTTTGCAGTAAGCCTGCTGGTTTACCAGGAGGCTGTTTGGCTGAGGCACAGATAGGACAGCTAGCCACATAAGTCTCAATGTCCTTTTTCAAGTTAGGCCACTAAAATTGCCTTTTAACCAAGTGCAAGGTCTTCACGATTCCAAAATGTCCAGCAGCTTTAGAGTCATGAGCTTGCTGTAATATTTGGTTTCTCAGCTTTGCTGGTACATATAATTACCCATGCCAATCCATCTCTAACTATACAGTTATTTGAGTGAGCAAGGAACCAATCATCAAGTTTTAGAGCTTCTTTTAATTGTGCATTTAAATCATTTGATAAATCAACTTCCTTTTTTTTCTGGGCTCTGCTAACCACTGGAGCCACCAATTGTTTGGTTGGGACAATAGGCCGTATCACTTCTTGGCGAGCACTATTATATTGAGGTAATCTAGATAAAGCATCCACCATGAAGTTCTTCCACCCTTGAAAGTACTTCAATGA